GTCAGTGTGATTGCATGACACTGGTGATGGGGATGCCATACAGATTCATGTCAAAAATACCGAACTATCCCTTTAAAAGAGATTAAACTAAGTATAATGGGACACCTTTACATTTCATAATTAAATGGTACATTTTATTGTTTAAAGTATTAAGGAGTGTTACATTGAATTATTTAAAGAGATCCAAACGAAGCCCCGAGTTAATGTTAACTCAGGGATGTTGCCTAGTTTGGGTCTGGCCTCTACTTTTGTCACGCCCCGAAATTGACATACATTCACAGACAGACTGTGTATGTGACATTTTCACAGTGTTCCAAAGGCTCCAAAGACTCGACAGGCATGGATTATTTTTGTCTCAGAACATCCCTGCAGAGTTTGATGCTCAGTTGTTGATTTGCTCTAAGCATTTTACCGAAGACAGCTTTCAAAATCTTGATCAAGGCTACCTTCACCGTGTCCGGTTCGGTCGGTCCATCCCACACTGGCTCCCTGCCCCCATCCGCCAGGGTTCCCGGACCAGCCCCCGAGCTGACAGCTCGGTTCGAATGCCTGGTGTGTTTAGAGTATGTCCTGCACTTTAGTCAAACAAAATCCCGGACGATTTTGAAATTCCCTCCGAATTTTTTTTTTAGGTATGAAAAGTAGGACATGTCCGGCAAAAAGAGGACGTCTGGTCACCCTACCATATCAACAATTTGATGTTTCAGTGAGTGCGTGCTTGTTGCTATGATGCGTCTTTGCTCAGCAGCTTCGCTCGTTGTAAACCAACCAATCAGCGCACAGCTCATCTAAATATTCATGAGCATACCATAAAAGGAAGAAAACCTGTCGTTTCATTCTAGGGCTTTTAACCAGAATGCATTAGGGCTCATAGAACAGCAAATACGCCATTTTCAGCCCAACCAATGTTATACACCCTATTCAGAGACCTTAAGGACCAAATACCCTATAGAATCATTCTATGAGCCCTTTAATGGGACATTTAATGAAAGTTTTATTTAGTTCATTTTACATTTATTTATTTATTTCATTATTTAATTTTGTACCCTTCAACGCTCCATACATACTAACACAATGGTTGGGAAACCAAATAAGCAGAAGTCTTTGTTTGTGTTAAGCAGATGCTTTAAACCATAAGAACAATATGAACAATATGAACAATGGACAGGAGTTACTATATTAAAGAAATGTTCCTGAAGAGTGGAGGACTCTTGCTGGGAACGACCAGTCAGTGACCTGGACATGATGTTCCTGCTGTGTTCAGACTGAGCTGCCCGAAAGCATCGGACATCTGGCCTCAGATATGACTGAGGAAGAGCCCCAGAGGGAAGGTCTACGGCGGTCAGGATTATGTCGCTCTGACCTGAGATCAGAAAACTACAATTTAACTTTAACAAAAAGAAGGGATCCTCCCTATAGGGAATAACCCTGACAGTTAAAGGAGAAGGAAAAGAAGCAGTATATAAAAAATCCACATTTTGTCTCAAGCCAGCGTGTTAGTTCGTCTGTGAAAACAAGATAAGCTCAGAATCCACAGCATCTTTATTACCGTTTCCAAATTCGGTCCTTTTTTTCCCTACATCTCTCATATTGCATTACATCATCCCTCTCCACACTAAAGCCAGGTATTTTATGGCATAATCAGTCGATCAAGGTTTTGGATAAACGAGCCAAAGAGATGACATCACTGTGACACTATAAAGAACCAAAATCTTTTTACTTTCAACTACTCTGTAAAGTTTAGTACACTAAAACTAGTTTTTAAGTGTGAACTATCTTTATCACCACTGTTTAATGCTCTTATTGTCAGACCTCAGGGTCCTCTTAGATCATCCAGTTGAGTCAGAAGGGACAGTAGTGTCCCAATGCTTTTGGACAGTCCAGCTTCTCTCCATTGGCATGAAACTAAAGACTGATTTTAATACATTAAACAGAGGTTTAAAATACCGGTTTAAGTCAGGACAGAGATGATCACATCACAATGTTTAAAGATGAATTAGCTTTAATGCTAATCTTTGTAATCTATTTATGCCGTATTGTGCAATATTTTCTTTTTTTTAAAGCCTCCGATGCACTGGTGTTGAACATTAGCACACGCGCTAACACACCCAAGCATTGCATCTGGTTTACCCAGCGTATAAGTGATTTCCATATTAGATAAATAAATAAATAAAAGCCTCTTCCCCTCCCTCACAGTAGAAATGAACTTTGTTTGACCCGGCTGTCCGTCTGCATCTAACACCTTGTCTGTAACCTTCGTCTTGCCTCATGTTCAGCTGGAAAGCCGTCATGCTGCATCTCGCCATTGTTTCTACTCCCACCCAGTTTCTCATGATAGTTTAAAGGATTAAAGGAAAACTGGAGGAGAATCGATTCAATAAAACCTTTTTATACACCTTCCTCCACGTCTTCCAGAGAAGCTATATTTAGAGCCTGTTTGAGCAGAAAGAAAATATCTAATCTAATCTAAAAACTACATACTTTTCTTCTTAATTTTAAGAATTGAGATTATTATTATTTTTTTATTCACACCTTGCCTTAAAAAAACTAAAAGAATATAAAAACAACAAAAACCGAAATGATCAAAGCATTAGGATGGGGAGGAAAATCTGGTACCTGGAGGCCAGCTTGTTCTTCTCCTTGCGGGATCGGGCTCGAGCTACGGCCGGCAGGTCGTTGACCGGACCCATCCCCTTAATGGCAGCGTTGAGCTTCTGCAGCTGCTCTCCGATGTTATGGAGCTTCTGAGGGTTGGGGGTCAGGTCGCTGGCGTCTGTTTTGCGGGCTTTACGGCGCCCTTTCTTACCTGAAAACAGGACCGTAAAATTAGCTCATGACCTGAAAAGGTTTTACAGCTCCAGACAGAAGTTTACTTCCACCTCTAAAGATCATGGAAATCTGTTTCACTTTAGACTTTCAATTATTTATTTACTTCGACTTCTCTTCCAGAATGAATAAGGCTACAACACTTACCTTTAATAAAAAAACAAAAACAAATATGCACAAATTTATATTTATTATAAAATCTATTTAGAGGTTAAAGTATTGAGATGCTCATATTATAACATTAGGTCCATTTTACTTACAGAAATCATCTAATCTTTGTAGCCAACAACAATATTTTGACCCAATTTGGTTCAACTTTTACTACATTTTCCAGCAGAATTAGTCCAGCTCATTCAAACTAGCTGGTTCTTTAACATTAACCTTTTCTTTTAGGTAGAAACAGTGAAAACAACAGATAGCTGAGGCTGGAGGTCATTCTGTTTATATTCTTTATCCATTCCAAAACCAGCGTTAATGCAGCTTTGGGATCATGTTCTGTTGGCCATACCAAAACTAGAGATTGGTTAGACTGACTGACATCAGTCGGACCGATACCCGATTTGTGCTGCCGATATTTTTAGGGTGATTTTTAGAGTGATTTAAATTGATAGTAAAATCAAACAGAGCAATAACAATAGATGGTAAATGGAGGGAGCAGCAATGTATGTCGTTCAGCTGATCTTAAGGCTTTTGAATAAATCGTCTAACATCGACTATCTATGTCTGCTAGTCACCAATCTACATCATCCCATCAACAAAGCTGTCAGCTTAGGACAGCTGTGTCCAAGATGTGGCACAGGGGCCATTTGCAGCCCTCTGAAAGATTGGAGTTGGTCCTTGATCCTGATTCAATAAAGGCCTTATTGTGTTTACCAACTCAGGTGGGTTTTTACTTTTCGTTTTATTAAAAGCAAACAGGTAACAAACATCGAGTGACTTTAATGGAGAACAGGCTTGGATGGACCCCTTTAATAAAGCATGAAAAATACATGATCATGTAGCTATCATCCATCCATCCATCCATCCATCCATCCATCCATCCATCCATCCATCCATCCATCCATCCATCCATCCATCCATCCATCCATCNCATCCATCCATCCATCCATCCATCCATCCATCCATCCATCCATCCATCCATCCATCCATCCATCCATCCATCCATCCATCCATTGTCTGTTCATCCATCCATCCATCCTCTGTTCATCCATCCATCCATCCATCCATCCATCCATCCATCCATCCATCCATCCATCCATCCATCCATCCATCCATCCATCCATCGTCTGTTCATCCATCCATCCATCCATCCATCCATCCATCCATCCATCCATCCATCCATCCATCCATCCATCCATGGGTGAGGTACACTGTGAACAGGTCACCAGTCCATCACACACTCCCCCCCTAAGAGCAATTTGAAGCCACCAGTTGATGTAACAGTCCTGGTTTTGAACCCTGGGAGGATTTTCTTCCATCTAATGAGAACAGTTTTTGATCCATGGGTTCATATTTGGACACAATGGGCTATTCCATCCGGAACAATGATCTCAATATCATTACGATAGGTTTTGGAACAGATAAAGGAAGCTCACATTATGCCACTTTCCAACCGAATATGCTTTGAGCATCAAGGCAGCTGGTCCATGGTCAATGGTGGACATAAATCCTGAAGTGTTTTGAGCATCCACTACAGAGTGTTTTTAACTGCCAAGCCTCGATGCAGATCAAGTTAGCCCAAAGCATCACAAGCTTCAGTTGAAGAAATCAAAACTACTGCAGCTTGATAAGACACATAAACCAATCAGAGAAGCCGATCATGGATGTGGCCTTGATCTCTGCCCCTGCAGAGCTGTTAACATTAACCATCAAAAATAAACAAGAATATATTTATTTAGAGGTGTTATGCTCTACTAGCCTTACTTAAACAAAAACAGGAGTTTGTATATTTTCGTTTAGAGAGAAAAGTGCATGTGCTCTGATCATTCTATTTAAATATTTTGTTACTGGCCCACAGTGAAAAGTTAAATACCTACATAAAAATATATATATTATCTATATTCTGGTTCTAAAAAAATGCTTATATTGTCTTCCAGCTGCTGCAAACAGCAATGAGAAATCCCCAAGAGCCTGGCCGGTCTGAGGGAGCTAACGCTGGATTCCCAGTGATAACTCCTCCACCGGTTTATGGAGGTCTGCTGCTTCAAAAAGCTACAGAATATTTAAATATAGGATCCAAATCCTGATTGACGGCGCCAAAGATGTTTGGAGGTGTACTCTCTATTTTAAAAACACCGCTTTTTCCCACTCCTCACAGCAAATAAAGCAAAGCCTCTCTCTTCACTGTATTTGCCATTGTGCACAAGAGGTCAGCAAAGCAGATCAGAAGAATCTGCACACTCTACTCGACGAGCATCACAAATACTCTCAATGTGCGTCTGACTTCAATCAACACAAAGGTCCAAGATGAGGCCTTTTTGATGCTTAAAATGTGTTTGGTGCGAAACAGCATTGAAAAGGCTTTGATATTAAGGAGACCCGTGTGAAGAAGAAAATAAAAACCCTCAAGAAAAACACTGAAATAAACTCCAGCAACACTGAAAAGAGGATGGATGAAATACCCAGCTAAGATTTCCCAAGAAACCTGTCAATGGAAAACAAAGTGTGTCGCTGAGGTGCAAAGGTAGATTTCACAGAGCAGTATGCACATATTTTAGCATGTATGCAGGATTTTGAGCAGGAATGAATAAATAAATAACAGTTCGAATAAAGACAAACTCCTGCATTCATATGCTGTGTTTAAAAGTTATTGGCTATATGCTCAATAAACCCTGAATAACAGAAATCTAAACCTTCCGCTTACACTAACCAACAGTAGCCAATCATCGTCTAAATGCTTGTTTTTATTCAAACGCTGTAGAGACGTGTGAACGGAAAGGTTCAGATGACGTGGCTGCACTTTGGCTTAGCTTTAAAAACATTGCTGACTTTCAGCCATTAGCGTGGATCAGGTTAATGGACTGTAAAATCAGGCCTTATGCTTGAGATCACGGCCAGCTAAGCTAATGCTTTAGCTGGTGATGTAAGACTCACTTATCAGATGCTAAAACATTCAAAGGTTGACATAAAAGTTGCATGTAGGACACAGGCCTTATCTGGTGTCTAAGCTGAGAGGAAAGAAGAGACTCCTGCTGCTGAGCTTTGGTGGAGCCGTGGTTCTGCTTTCACCGCTGTCATTAACATCTATGATTATCAGTTAATTAGCCAGTTAGCTTCTCAGTAATAGCTGCATCCTTGTCGAATGTGGAAAGACAAACCAATTAAAACAAAAGTCTGTCTAAGTCTCTAGAAACACTTCTCACCCTCTCGGCGGTACAGGGTGCTGGGGAGGGTGCTGGAGCTCCAGGACAGGGACCAGTGGACATTGCTGCCCAGCTTCTTCTTAGTGGCCGACTCTCGAGAGCGCCGGTACTCCCAGAAACAGCGACGCTTAGCGGGGCGCTCGCCTGGTTGTCTGGCTGGCTCAGGCTCCACCTCTGGAGGAAGAAAAACAGAAAGGAGGTAGAATTTGGAGTTTTAAGGCAAGTCGAAACAATTTTATTTATATAGCAAAACAAAGCAGCAATAAGCTCTAAAATGACAAGGGCTGTGTCTGAACATACACCCTAATCACTATATATATCACTTAGGGGTGGAAAGGTTCACAAAACCCACAGTTCGGTTCGGTTCACGGTTTCGTGGTCACGGTTTTCGGTTCGGTTCGATTCGGTATATGTTGATTGTTACACAGAAATCCCATAAAAATTAAAGAAATTAATGAAAAAATCCCCCAAAATTAATGAATTGTAATTATTTTTAATGATTTGAATTTAATCATCTCACGCATGCCCTCTACGATCTCCAAGGAACTCAGAGCGGAGCGGACGGGAGCCACAGTGGAGGCTGTAGGCTTTGCTTTGTGCAGGCGGTCTGGAGCACAGCGGAGCGCTGATGGAGTATATGGGATTTCGGGGTTAGCAATGCTTGCACACTGGTGCACTTTAATCCACAACTTTCTTTCCGCCGTCATCGTAGGTCACTCTAAATGCAAAGTGGTCCCATACAGCAGACCTATAAAGTGCTGCTGGCGCGTCTTCCAACTCCTGTTCTTTCCCACTCGCCATACCCACACAATTCTCCACAACAACTAATTTTTTTCTGCTACACCCGGCTACGCTGCTTCGCTTCTTCTTCTTGTTTACTACTGGTGGTTGGCTTTGGTCGCAGTACCGTCACCTTCTGCTCTGGAGTATAAACGCTTCGCCTATGAGAAAATGGAGCAGCGCATAAACCGAACGAAACACGCGAACCGAACCGAGACAGTCGAACCGAACGGTTCGGACGGTTTTCATAAACCGTTCCATCCCTAATATCACTATATAGTTGTTACGTCATTCTATATGAGTGTCCTAGTGTCTAGTGGATGAAAAAGTAGTGGACTCAAAATTTCCCACAATGCACCTTCAAAAGTAATGATCATTGATGGTCATTAGATGAGCAGGTGTATCCCAGAATGCTTTGCAAGAGCTCTCCTCACAGAGCATCACCGGATTTGTTGTAGCAGCTAATAATGAATATAAAGATGGTGCAGGCACCGAACGGGGAGGCGGAGTTACGTGACCAACGGGGAGCGAAAACTGGTAATCATCTGTCCAAACGATCAGTTAACTGAGTTCGTTATAAAGTCAGCTATATAATGTAGTGATTGAGGGGTTTAGGGGTTAGAGCAGATGTTTGGACACAGCCATGTTTGGATTTTAAACTCCATACAACCTAAACTAACGTTAGCTTGAAGAAAGTGAGGCTGGAATAAACTCTAGCGTATAGGCAAGGCAAGTTTATTTGTAATTCAGTACAAAGACAATTCAAAGTGCTTTATATGAAAATAAAAGCAGAATAAAGGCAAATGAAGATAAAAGAACGATTAATACAGGTAGCATTTTTCCAGTCTGCTGGGAGTTTGTTCCAGATCAGTGGAGCATAGGAACTAAATGCTGCTTCTCCATGTTTGGTTCTAGTTCTGGGTCTGGGAGGTTGATCCACTGTCAATAAATCTTTTACGGATTGAGGTGCTGATCTATTCAGTGATTTATAGACTAACAGAAGGATTTTAAAGTCAGTTCTCTCACAGGGAGCCAGTGCAAAGACTTCAGATCCGGATATAGAAACGTTTTACAGTGCTTTAAAACAAAAGAGTGGAGACGTCACTTTCATCCCGTCTAACTGCATATTTAAGGGTGTAGATGTGCTGAGAAACTGGCTGGTGACCAACCCAAGCGGATTACAGGTGATTACAAAACTCTTTTTGCTGAACAGTGAACAAAGCATACCTAAGTGCTTCCTGTAGGAGGCAAAACCAACTTTCTTCTGTTTTTTTAGCGAATGGATAAAAAAAGTTCTGTTTAAAAAAAAAAAAAGGCTTCTTCTAATTAAGGCAAATAAGAAACCCTAACCTGCATTTATCTCAACTTGAACATTTCAAAGCCGCACTTCTTTGCACATCTCACTTATGCAGAACTCAGCCAACTTTACTCCTTTATTGGCTGCAAAATGGATCTTAAAATGTGAATGTTGGCTTATAAATGGTCCTGCTTTTTGTACATTGCACAAAGTAAACTAAAACTAAGTAAAATGTTCTTAAAATTAATATAATATAGAGTTTATAATTAAAAGGTTAGGACTTAAAATAAAGGTAATTATTCTTATTCCATTAGCATAAAGTCACCTGCTAGAATCAAAGGAAAATACACTTATTTCATGAAAAAAATAGATCTATTTAAATTTTTACAGTGGCTCGCTGGTTTACTCCAGACTTATCTGAGAGCAGCTGAACATTTCCTTTAAATCTAAGACCAGCATCATTGCTCCAATTTAAGTCTCTTTTAGAACGAGTCTTTTGTCATCCGAATAAGGCCCAGTGTGAGTCACCATGGCCTCTTTATTATCTGTATTTTCTATTTTTTGTATGTGTTTTTCTTATGTCTCCATTTTTTTTCCTTTTATGTGTTTTTATTTTTGTAGAGCTTAGGATAATCTTGACGTTTTTTTTTCTTTTGCTTTATAAATTCGGTATGGAAGCTGTTATCTATGCTGAATATATAAGAAAACAGGGACACTGAAGGAAATGAAACAACGTTACTCTGTTTGATTTTATCAGGTGGTTTAGTCTAGGTGACGATGCTGGTTTGCGACACTTTAGGATCTCTTGGATTTGCGAGAGGAAGTCACCACGACGTCACAAAAGCAAAAACAGCCACAAACGCTTTCATTCATTAATATCAAAGATAACTGCCCCACATTGGTTCTGATGACCCAGTTTTCTTCATGTAAAGAAGCACCAGAGACACTGTAGCTTTCTGGAGTTAAAGCTGACCTGAGGGCTGGAGCTGCTGGGGGAGTGATGAGCGCTTTAACTGTAGAGACAGAACCTGAAGGCTGAGGAGCTTTTTACATCCTCACACAGATGCTAACAAACAAAGCAGCAATTCATACCATTATCAAGGTCAGAATCCGTATCCTCTTGGAAGAAGAGACATAATGAGAGGAAGAAAACTTCAAGGCTGGACTATTGTAATTCTTTACTATCAGGAAGTCCACAGACTGTAGCTAAAAGCTTTCAGCTGATCCTGCTTCCTCCCACAGTCCAAAAACATGACTGTTAGGTTAATTAGCTTGTCTAAATTCTCCTTAAGACTGAATTATACTCAGAACAAGGTCTGCATGTCTGTCACAGTGAACGTGTGCCTCCGCTCCTGCCGCAGACACTCAGTCTGTGCAGTCACCTCTCCAAAATTATTGGTGACCGCAAACAGTGCCGTAGACAGGAGGCCTCTGATTGGTCAAATCTACATTCGCTCTACACTATGCGTATTTCTTTGGTGCCTTACCGGCTTGTTTTGTTTGTATGACCGCCATTGTGGAAAACAACTCGTGAACATGGACCAGCTAGAAGAGCGAGGTGCGCGAGAACGCTGGGACCCTTTTTCCACCTGGTTCCCCGCTCTTTTTGGCTCTCATGTCCCTCCGTTGTCGCACAAACTTACCCCCACATCCTCACCCCCTTGTCCGTATCTAGACCCACAGCTAGTTTGCGATTGTCCCTCTTTTCTGTTGTGGCGTGGAATAACATAGGGCAAACCACGCTTCAATATTTGGCATAAATCAAAAATATCTGCGACAAGCTCACTGCGACAAACTGCTGCAGGAGGATAACCAGCCCTTAAGGTGTGAGTGTGTGCGTGAATGGTTGTTTGTCCTGTTTGTCTCTGTGTTGCCCTGCGATGAACTGGCGACCTGTCCAGGGTGGACCCCGGCTCTCGCCCGTAGACAGCTAGAGATAAGCACCAGCACCCCTCATGACCCCAACTGAGATAAGCATGATGGAAAATGGATGGATGAATCATATTTATAGTTAGGGAGTCAAGCTACTATGATGAGAAAAAGCAGAAAGAGCAGAAATGTTAGAGATTGAACTAACAAATACTGCAGAGTGGGAGAATAGAGCTAGCATGATAAAAAAAGGGGTCCCTATGTCCTCCAGTAGTCTAAGCCTATAGCAGCACAAATGCAAAAATGGTTCAGGATAACCTAAGGTATGAGGTATGAGGTATAAGAAAGAGCCAAGGGGAAATGTCCCAAACACTCCCTAACAGGATAAACAACCCTCTCCATTAGACACCCTAAAGCAGGGGTGTCAAAGTGGTTCCAGAAAGGGCCGTGTGGCTGCAGGTTTTCTTTCCAACCAAGCAATAGCACACTAGACTCCATTCATCTCATCAAGTCATCATGTTCAGATTGGACTCACTTGATGAGATGGTTGGAGTCTATTGCTTGGTTGGAAAGAAAACCTGCAGCCANTATAAGAAAACAGGGACACTGAAGGAAATGAAACAACGTTACTCTGTTTGATTTTATCAGGTGGTTTAGTCTAGGTGACGATGCTGGTTTGCGACACTTTAGGATCTCTTGGATTTGCGAGAGGAAGTCACCACGACGTCACAAAAGCAAAAACAGCCACAAACGCTTTCATTCATTAATATCAAAGATAACTGCCCCACATTGGTTCTGATGACCCAGTTTTCTTCATGTAAAGAAGCACCAGAGACACTGTAGCTTTCTGGAGTTAAAGCTGACCTGAGGGCTGGAGCTGCTGGGGGAGTGATGAGCGCTTTAACTGTAGAGACAGAACCTGAAGGCTGAGGAGCTTTTTACATCCTCACACAGATGCTAACAAACAAAGCAGCAATTCATACCATTATCAAGGTCAGAATCCGTATCCTCTTGGAAGAAGAGACATAATGAGAGGAAGAAAACTTCAAGGCTGGACTATTGTAATTCTTTACTATCAGGAAGTCCACAGACTGTAGTTAAAAGCTTTCAGCTGATCCTGCTTCCTCCCACAGTCCAAAAACATGACTGTTAGGTTAATTAGCTTGTCTAAATTCTCCTTAAGGCTGAATTATACTCAGAACAAGGTCTGCATGTCTGTCACAGTGAA